CACACACACACACACACACACACACACACGCACACACACACACAGATATACACACACGCAGACAACCCCTCGACAACATAAGTTTCATTTGCTAGTCTATGGCGAGATCATGTCTTTGTGCTACAAATAATTTAACACTAAAACTCCAAAAGCTGAGAACAAAATTTCGAGAACTAGTTCATGGTCATTTAAGGATCGAAATCCTGAAATCTTTTTCCAGGTGATTGTATGTCCCATCCAGCCACCTAGTGAGCTCAAATTCGTGTAATTTATATAACTCAAGAGCATAAATTACGCGCTTGAATTTCTCGGTAGTTAACTTACCAAGCACTGCAAACTGAATTACTTGTAATCATGAAAATTCTTCAAGCTTTATACAGTGCAGCCAGTGACTCCATCTCCGTACCCATGCTAGAACTTTAAACAGTTGTGCCTAGTGCACTGCCGCGGTATAATGAGAATGTAAAAATTTACATACTGGGAGTCTGAGGATTCATTTCAGGAAACGATGCGAAGCGAATATGTTTAGTTAACATTTTGCAACAATTTAGCCCATAATCTCAGATCCAAATCCAGAAGAATTTCGTAGTCTCAGGATGGGGCAAGGTAGAAATTTGAAATTTCTGGCTTCTATTTTACCGGATGATGAAAAATAAAATCGAGTTTAGTACTCCACTTCACACTAACTTATGATTTCACGCACAGCCGGGCTTACTTTTTGGTGTCAAAAGGTAATAAGCTTTGCCTATTAATATGGCTATTTTGCGTATGCTGGAGAATTGTATTCAGCCGAACTGGCGCGTGTGCTGTGAACCAGAAAAAATTTACCATAGAAATGCACGACAGCGTTGGCCCCTGTTGGGTGCTATCATTTGCAGATTTATGCATACATGCGTAAAAATACTACCATCATAATCCATATTTCATGCTGCAACATTTAAATGTTCCAGTACAGAAAATTTTCTTCGTAGTCATTGATCCAGTGTCGCTGAAAAATCCCACAGCTGCTGTTTCCTACTTTTCAACTACCTTTTCCATCGGGCTCGAATTTTGGTGGTTCGGATGGCCGAGCTGGTTCCTACACTAATGTGTAACGTCTAATTTTCACCAATAAGGGCAGCAGCTCGCTCCGCTCGGAAGATTTCACCTTGTGTTATGTAGTCAATGATGTCGCGCAACTCACTTGTTTATAGGTAAAAAGATTGCTGGAAAACACTGAATCCTGGCTGGATGGGTGCGCTAAGCTGTGCCCTGCCAAGCAGGTGTCCCAGCAATTATTGTGAATCAACAATATTCACACTGTTCTGATCTCCGCTACCACTTTGTTGTTGCTTCTAACATCATTATTATTACTATTGTTATTATTATTGCCAGTAACAATTTTATGATCGGCAGCTGAAACGACATAATTTAATGGTTACATGGTAACCCGTTGCGCAGGATTAGAGGAAAGTGGCAGTGATGACGGAGCCGGCGAGTGCAGCAACAGCAGTATTACCAACACCAATATTCCGTGATCTTCATGGTTTCAATGGGTTTCTTGGAGCTGGAGGAAGACGAAACGAGTTAAGTGAAGTGGCAACCGCCGCAGTTCTGTGCCTGCTTGTCGGAATGATGATTGTTGCAACTCTTGTTGGTAACTCTCTAGTGATTCTAGCTGTTCTGTTGGTTCGGAGCCTGAAAACTCAGCCGGCAAACTATTTGCTCGTTTCACTAGCTGTTGCCGATTTTTGTGTCGGTTTACTGGTGATGCCTATAGCTCTGATTGATCTGCTAACCGATCGCTGGGTTCTTGGCAATTCGGTAGGCGTTTTTCTGAGTTTCATTTTTTTATTTTTTATCGTGCGCTGTTGTAGCACATTATAATTATTGGTAAAAGATGGCATTGCTGTGGTTAAGCAAATTTCACTTTTATGCTTTGCTAGAAATTCAGTTTTATTGTTCGATTTTGCTATAGGAATGCCCAAAATATTCATGCGATACTTCGCTACTGAATTTCGGTCCTTGAGCTCACCGAATTTTCCATTATCATGTGTTCGCATTTCATCAACGAACCAAAACGCTAGCTTGTCAGAACTTATGAGATTCACGCACCGCTCAAAAATGATCGATTTAGCTGTGGTTAAATCGGTTTCTGCTGCAATATAAATTAGGTGGTTGACAAAAAGATGGGCATGTTCCGAAGCCAACGCTACCTGGTCGAAGCAAAGCACCATTGCTAAAACGGTGCCCAAGCCCTCACTGTTTTTGCTTAAATTTGTTCGAATGACAAACGCTATTGGACTCGGAACGTCATGGTTTAGTGAAAGCCTGTTTCTCACAGCTAGAATTTCAGTCTGAGCTGACTATGCACTGTTTGTTTAGGTAACGCACCTGTTGACTAATTTTTATGCTTTTATGGCAAAAATTAAGAAAGAATGCTTTGATGAGATCATGTGTGCTATGCGTGCGAGATAAACTCGCCTTTGTCGAAATATTTCAGCTCAGAAATTGCGAGGCTCAGGAGCTCACAGATCTAAAAATTCTGTGGAAAAATAAAAGTTGAATCAAATTTCATGTTCGCGCACGGCTTTGCATCTCACTTTATAAGTTTCATACTTTGTCTCATATTTTCTATTCGCTTTCAATAGGGAAAGTCGGAGCCCAGAATTTAACTTTCATGTCCTTTTTTCGTGCGTTGCTTTTGTAGACGTAAATCATTACATCATATAAAGACGACGTGAAAGGATTATGCGCGCGCAGAAATTGGCAAGACAGTATGAATCTGTTCGTTCAAAGTGACCGCAAGGGCACAGTGATGTACTAGTCCGTAGTACATGCCACTATTTATTTAACTTTTTTCTTCCAAAGCGAGCAGTCTTGGCAGCCGTTTCGAGCTCTCTTTTCTGATAACATTGTCGAACACTTCACTTTCTTTACGTTCTGATTTTATTTATATTTTCGCAAATATTTTGACGTAGAAAGTGAAAAAATTGCAGCGCAACCGGCTGAACCTGCGTCGCAACGCAACAGACTTGCGGTGCGATCATGTGATTTCGCAAATAAGCTTGAAGCCGTTAGATGGTTAACTGTATGAATGGTTGTCGCTTGTCATTTAACTTATTCAATCATTACCATAGATTTTGTGTCACGAAAGATGATTAATTTCCTGTGGCCGGTTGCTCATTGGAAATAATTTAATTGCTCTGGCCACCGAGCTGGGAATTTCGGCGCTAAAAATTTCACTCATCCATACTTGAGAGGCGACTTACTTAGAAACTAAACGTGAAGTCTTTAAGTCGTACATGAGCAGAGAACATCTTAAAACTTTCAGCTTCCTAACTCACCTGCTTCCTGAGTTAGCATTTTTCCAACCAAAACTTCCACTTGCCAAACTTCCACGTTTTTTGTCTCTTCCCAACTGTTTTTTTTTGGCAAAATTATCGAATAAGCCGAGTGGCGAGAGCTTTCCAAATTTCGTGCCCTTCGGATCTGTTCAGTTCAGTGTTGCTACCATCGTTTCTGGGAGTCTCCCCGTACTGGAAAATTGCCCATCTTACCTCATTGACAAGTACGGGAGAAACTTGCTGCTTGGTGACTCGAATTCCAGGTGATCAAATATCGGTAAGTGAAGCAAACAGATTAGTGTAGAATTTTCTGTGAGCGTTCTCCACATCTTTGGATTCGTTATCCGACACCCATTTTCGTCCTTCAGCGGTGCCATTATAAGATACAGCAACATCTGGTCAAGCTTTGCTTTTTTATTACGAGATTTTGCGTCTTACGCAAATGCAGCCAGACTGGAAAACACTAAGCTTGCCGGTGCGATCATGACTTTTTGCACCAAACTTGAAGTAGTTGGTTGTTAACTACATGAATGGTTGTCGTTTTACTAAATCATTGTAAATTCTGCATAAGCGAAAATGAACAATTTCCGTTTAACGATCCTTCTTTGCCGTTCAGTGAGCAACGCTCCCGTCGAAAATTCAGGTGCCCGTACTTGAGAACCACGCATACCTGGAGGACTGAATTTGAAGTCTTCAAGTTGTATTTGGACAGGGAATATTCTCCTAAAATTTCAGCTTTCCAACTTTTTTGGCTCCCGAGCTAGCAGTTTTCCTGCCAAAAATTTCACGTACTCGTATGTGAGTAACACACGTCCTTGAAAGCTGGGTTTTTAAATTGTACGTGGACAGAGAACACCACCTCAAAATTTTAACTTTCCTGCTTTTCTGGCTACAGAACTGGCAATTTTCCCATCAATCCTTTACGTGCCAATGCTTGAGAACCAAGAGCGCCTAGGAGCTAACTTTAAAATCTTTAGTTCACACATGCATAGAGAATACCCTTGCAAAGTTTCAGCTTCCTATCATCTCTAGTTTCCAAGATCGCTTTCCCTCAAAAAATTTGCATATTCCCGGGCATATGCAAGTGATGATATTAAAATGGAGGGTTGCACATGGTGTGAGCACATACTCCCGAAGTTTCAGCCTTCTAGCTTTTCTGGTTCTCGAGCTGAAAGTGGGTGACAAAAAGCACGAGTACACAGACACACAGACACACACACACAGCCTCTTGCCAATATGCGTTTTCGTATTCGCATACATGCAAAAACGCATAAAAATGCGTATTGTCGGGCGTTTGTCTGTGTATGTCTGTGTTAAAAAAAAAAACCCAGGCTGGAACGCACTGGGCGGGCCTGTGCTATCATGCGTTTTTGCACCGGACTTGAAGTACTTAGGTTACTGACTGCATGAATGGCTTTGCTTAACACCTATCTGTTGCGGTCACTAGCATAGATCACCATAAATTTTTGCAATTTAAATGTACAGTTTCCACTTAACAGTCATTCTTTAAAAGTAACCTAGTTGATCAGTAAGAAATTTTTTCGCCAAGATTTTTAAGTGACCGTACCTAAGAACCGTGCATACCTCAAGCTGAATCTGAAATACTTAAACTGTACTTGGACAGGGAACATTCTCTCAAAATTT